CTGTTGCACTGTTTGTAATAGAAAAAGACTGGGAAAAAAATCTCAAATGTTTATCAATAACTATTGATTGAAGAAATACTAAATATCCAATCTAATGTAGCTATTAAAAATGGACATCACATCCATTAGATTAGGATAGTGATTATAAAAATTGGAAGGAAGGAAAGGAGGGGGGAAGAGAGAAAAAAAAGGAAGGAGGGAGAGAGAGAAGGGAGGGAGGGAGGCGGGAGGGGGAGGGAGCCAGAGAGCAAAGAAAGGAAGAGCCCTTGTTTTACTGGTGGGAATCCAAAACAGTCCAGCCATTATGGAAAACAGTACGGCAGCTCCTCAAAAAGTTAAACACAGTTTGTAGACTGTTCCTCTAGCATGTATAAGACCCTGGATTTGATCCCCAGCACTAGAAAAAAAAAATGTATCTTTTTAAACACAAAATTAGTGGATGGCCCAACACATATACTTCTGGGCATATATCAAAAAGAAAATGAGCCAGGTGTGGTGCCACTTTTAGTCGAGCACTTGGGAGGCAGTTACGAATTGTTAGGCTTATTAATAGAATGAAGGTTAAAGACAGATCTCTGTGAGATCAAGTCCAGCCTGGTCCACACAGTGAGTTCCAGGCTAGCTGGGGCTACAGGGAGAAGCTATGGGTTCAGTGAGAGGCCCTGTCTCAATAAGGTGGAGAGCAGCAGAAGTTGGTACCAATGTGGACCTCTGGCTTCCGCACACGGATGAGTATATCAGGACATACATGAATATAGCAAACACACACATGGAGAAAACAAAAAAAAAAAAAAAAGGGAAAGAGAATCTGGGCATCGTGGTCATCTGGGACTAACCAGGTTATACTGAGCTCCAGGCCAGCCTGGGCTACATAGTAAGATCTTGTCTCCAAAAAATTCAAAAGGAAACTATGACACATAGCAGACATGGATGAACCTTGAGGATATTCTGTTAAAAAGAAACTAGGCTGTCATAAAAGGGCAAATACTGTAAGAGTCCATTTGCTGAAATCCCTAGAGCAGTCAAATTCAGAGTCGGACAAAGTAAAACGGTGGTTGCCAGGGATGAGGGGGGATGGAGGAGATGTTGTTTAATGGGTATGTATTTAAAATTTTTGAATATTAGAAAACTGTGGAGATGAAATTGTAAATTTTATATTTAACCAAACATTTTAAATTTTAAAATTTTAAATTAAAAAAACCTGTATGGGGGCTGGAGCGATGGCTCAGCGATTAAGAGATTAAGAACATTGGCCGCTCTTGCAGAGGACCCAGGGTGGCGAATAACTGTTTATGACTCCAGTTCCAGGGGATCTGATGCCCTTGTCTGACCTCCACAGGTACTGCATGACATGGGTGTATTTAAACACATGCAGGCAATGCACTCATACACACACACACACAAAAAAAAAATTAAAAGATCTATATAGGTAAATATATAAACATTCATATAAATGTTATATTCATAATTCTAACAGAAAGATAAACAAAAATGTTTTAAATGGCTATTTAAAATTTTTATTTATTATATATATGGGCATGCATGTCACAGAGCATGTGTACAGGTCAGAAGACAATTCTCTGGAGTTGGTTCTCTCCTTCCACGTCTATGTGGGTTTGGGGGACTTAAACTCAGGTCAGTAGGCTTACATATCAATTACCTTTACTCACCGAGCCATCTTGCTGGCCCCCAAATTACTCTTTTGGGCAAAGGAAAGAATAAGACGGAAGTAGGGATAGAAACAAGACTTTTCTGAATGTACTTTGTTTTGTATTTAAAATATAATGATAAAGTTAAATAAATTTTTAAGTCACTTCTCTAAATCAAAAGGAAGCATCTCAATCTAACTGAATACTGAGTCTGACCACATGGAGAAAAAGTATTTAAATGACTAAAAGACAAAAATTTGTGTGTCCTTTGTGACAAAAAGCACAGGAAACCCCGTGTTGCTCTCACTAACTGCCGTTAGCCTTTACTGTAAAGAATCTTCTGTCATGTACCTTCCACCATGACATTCTGCCCAAATGCACGGAGCCCATGCAAGTACAGGCTGAAGCCTCTGAAACCTGGAGTCAAAATAAATCTTTCTTCCCTTTAAGTTGTTTTTCTCAGGCATTTGGTTACAACGACAAGAAAACTAACTCAATTAGACATTTCGTGATAATTAGAAAGCAATGACAGCACTGAGTTTATGTATTTTGAAAGAACTGTTCTTCAGAGAAAATGTCCATGACGAAAACTTTTTTCTAATGCTAAAATTTGAAAATAGGTAACTACAAGACTGATTCAAAAGTATTTTGTTCTTAATGAACTGTAACAGAAAAGTGGTTACTCTGGGAAAGGTGGAGGGGAAGGGAGAGAAGATGGTTAATACCCAGAGTGGGGCAGTTAGAAAACGTTTTATTCGAGCTCTATAGCATCATCAAATATTTGGAATACTGTAACACACTTGACATACTTTAAAATCTATGAATAATAATCTTTCTACAAATTTTCCCAGATGGATTATATTGCCCACAAGCAAAACAGAACAAAATCCCCAGCCCCTGAAAACCATTGGTAAGCACTATCACAGGTTTTCCTCTGGTGATGGAAGTATTTATAGTGAGTGCCCTCTATAATTGAGTACTAGATTCACTCTGATAGAATATGTGAATGATGGGGCTGGAGAGATGGCTCAGCGGTTAAGAACACTGGTTCTTCTTGCAGAAGGCCCGGGGTTCGAATCCCAGCACCCACATGGCAGCTAACAACTGTCCATGGCTCCAGTCCCGGGGATCCCACAGCCTCTTCTGACCTCCACAGGTACTGCACAACACGGGTGCACTTACCTACATGCAGGCAATACATGCATACACATAAAATAAAAATAATAAAAGAATATGGATAAAGACTAAAAACTGTCACTCATAGAGTGCTTACTATGTGCTGAAAGTATTTTATAGGCATATTTTCATGTACTACAAAAGCTTGTACAGTTAATACTAGCCTTATTTCACTGGGGTTTTTTGTTTGTTTTTGAGACAGGGTCTCATGTAGCCTAGGCTAGCCTCAAACTCACCACATAGCAGAGAATGGCCATGAACTCCTGCTACTTCTGCCCTCATCTTCCAACTGTGGGGGTTAGAGGCCTGTACTACCACCCTGATTATTAGCCTTATTTTGACAGTAAGGGAACTATGGTGACAGAGTTTGTACAAGCTGGCCAAGGTGACACTGCTGAAAAGAGCACTTAATTCACACACGGGGGCTGGTCAACTCCAAAGCCTAGACTCCTCACAAGACTCTTCACTGCTTCCCTATTCCTGTCTAGTAAATACATCTTTGTCTTCAAATCTAGAACCAGTACAGGCAGACATGCACATATCTAATCTATGAACACCATATCCATAATTTGTCACAGATTCTGAGGTACAGTTATTAAGAAGCACCTGAGGAATTACCAGTAGAAAAATTCAAGTGAAGCAACAAATTTTCATAAAATTCTGAGTGGTCAAGAACAGGAAATCTGCATAACAAAAACCTTTTCACTGCTTGAGTTATTCCAAAGTTGATATGAACGTGATATGACCAGAAAAATCATCGTGAACATTTTTAAGAAAAACTGAAATTCCGTAAATCTAAAGGTAGAACAAAAGAATTCAATTTTAAAAATCACATTTACTCAACATGTAACAACTGGACCATATGTAGCATTACATTATGCTCTCAGGATAAAGTTGTTTATTAGTCAAAGAACAGAGATATAATTGTATCGGAACTTGACCTTTTTTTTTTTTTTTTTTTTTGTTTTTTTTAAGAAGATTGTGTAGCAGAGCGATTAGAGGATCACCACACGTTAGAGTCCATCATCTAGTCTGTCACAATACCGTTATGTATATTATATCAGTTTTCAGAATTCACTCTGCGTGGTAAGGAATCCTCTTTAAACTTACTTACCTGGGCTTTGGACAAACATGTTTTACAACCAGACATTTTCCTTTAAAAAATAATTTTCAGTTTCCATTCCCTAAAACACATATGGAAAGTATTGTGTAATATCCTAAGCTCATGTCTGGTCTAAGATAGGCAAAAATAAACTTTTGCTGATTGAAAGAGCAACCCTGTCTGAGATGTCTAAAAAGTACATAAGTAAGGGAAGGGGCCAAGCTTAAGATCCTCTGCAGCACTGTTAAACTGAAGAGTCGCATATGACCTGTAACTAGACCAGTTCTCCAGAGCAAATGTGACTGAACCCTCCAGAAAGCAGTGCACAAAGCTGTGACAGGGTTTGATGCTTGCCCTCTGTGAGTGCAAAGTTAAAATGACAATGGTTCAAGTGACTTACCCAAAAGGAATTCAGCTTCCTGCAGAGTACTATTTGCTCATTTCCAGAAAGTTTAACTGCACTCCAAAGGCAGAAGGAGGCCCTTTCAGGAGCCATGCTAATGCCAGGAATCAGTAAATACAGGAATTCAGGGACTGATTCAACCCAGGTGGGTTTCTGCTGATTTAAAGACACACACACGTAGAATCAAGGCAAAGCCAGATTTTAATGCCATAAAAATACGTGAAGAGGGGGTGAAAAGAATCTAAGAGTCAGAGGGACAAGACACCTGCTGCTGGTTAATTGCATTCTAGACATGATAGAGAAGCTGCCTCAATGAAATCTCAGTATCGAGATCCACCTGCCTCTGCCTCTGCCTCCCAAGTGCTGGGACTACAGGCGTGCGCCACCATGCCCGGCAGAACTTGACAGTTTTAAACTTCTGAATGGCTGTAAGCACCCATGTTCCAGTGTTTCAGATTTCTTTGAAAATGTCTGTAAGTCAAGAGTAGCATTTCTCCAAACACAAATTCTTCAATCTATTATGGTATGAGTCAAACTAATGTACTTCAAACATACAAGATACAGTTCTAAAGAGCAATATTTTCCTATTGTTTACCAAGCACACTAGATTAGTCGAGAGGGTAATGTACGCTATTTTCTAAGATATGTCGAAGGAGAGCTCAAGTCTTACCTCCATTGCTAAAGCTGCTGTCTGCTGGTCATAGTGATTCAGAAGATTAGGCATGAAGGTAGTATTGTAAGGCAAATCTTGGCACATCCTCAGGGTAATAGGCTCACAAGAAAACAAGCTGTGCCCACCTATACGCCTCACAAACACGGTCAAGAGCCAGAGATAAAGGTCGATCCAACTCACAGCCATTCTTCCTGGATCTGAATGAGATTCGGATATCAGGCCTACTCAATATGTATCTTAGATCAATATACACCTGCAGGTCTCGGCTTGAAAGCTCTTCTTCTGTATCTTACTGTTAAGTTCTTCAAACAGCTAAAACCTCTTTGCACCATCAGAGGTTTGCTAACTTGGTCTCACAAAAGGCATTTGTTTTTGGTTTCACAATGTGGGAAAATGACATCATCTTGTCTCTTCTCTTCATTTTATTACATGGGGCACATCTGGCCAATATATCAACTTGATCAACCACATTCCCAAATCGCAGATTCCATCTTAGGAGGACAGTGACTTCTTCCTTGTTGAAATATCTGAAAGGTATTTGAAAATGGGGAAATTAGTCATTTCTTCTCCAAGTACTATGGGCATCATCCAGGGCACTTCACAAACATACAGGTTCTCTACTGTGCTGTCTATGATACAGACACACTAAAAATAGTTCTTGAATAGCATTTAAATATTGATTTTATTTCCTAAGTTGCATACATGACATATGGTGGAATTTTTTTTTTGCCATTTGATCCATTTTGAATAATTCTTACTTCTGTCCCAAATTGTGTTTGTTAACTAGATTATAAAATTTTAAATTTCTTACATGTGTTTTAGTCATTGTTAGTATATTTTTTTTATTAACCAACTTGGCAGAAAGCATCTGTAAAAAAGGTCTGAAAAACCAAAAGATAGATTTATGCTTATTAGTTCTATTAATGTAAAAACTGCCACTTAACTCTTAATTTTTCTTCCCGAAAGTGAGGTGATAACACTCTTATATGGGGATGACCGTAAATTATGAGATAATATACGTGCAAGTCCTTTGTAAATAAATGTACAGCAGCAAACCTTGGGTGTTTCTATTACTAAATTGCAGTTGACACAAAGGTTACCTCTATCCACAATACCGAGCTGATGGAAGATTCTAAAAGTAATCCCAGCAAATTTTCCCAACCTTTCATCATCATTTTATTTTATTTATTTATTTATTTATTTATTTATTTATTTATTTATTTATTTATTTATTTATTTTGACTCCATTCAAATTATTACTACTATTAGCTTTTTTAATGACATGGTCTCCCTAGTCCCAGCCTGCCTGTAACTCACTATGTAGACCAGGCTGGCCTCTATCTCACAGAGCTCCACCTGCCTCTGCCTCCTGAGATCTGGGATTAAAGGCCTGCGCCACCACACCCTGCATACATCATCTTTTTAGATTGCTCGAAATTTTAATACCATAGATGCTGCCCTTGAATTTGAAACACAACCATCATGGTCTCCCTAGTCCCAGCCTGCCTGTAACTCACTATGTAGACCAGGCTGGCCTCTATCTCACAGAGCTCCACCTGCCTCTGCCTCCTGAGATCTGGGATTAAAGGCCTGCGCCACCACACCCTGCATACATCATCTTTTTAGATTGCTCGAAATTTTAATACCATAGATGCTGCCCTTGAATTTGAAACACAACCATCAAATGGTCACTACACACTATAAAGAATAATAGAAAATGGGCAACAGACATAAACTTAGAAAAGGTCAATAAACACATGCAGTGATATTTAACTTTACTACTAATAAAAAAATTCAAGCATAAGGTAATACTTTTGCCAATCAGATGGGCAAAAATGACGATGGCAGAACATAGTATGAGATAAATTAAAGGGAAAAGATCATTTTCAAATACTGTGGATAAGAATGTAAACTGATACTTTAAGAAAAATGGCTACTTATATCAAAAGCCCTCAAAAATCTGATCCAGCAAACCTATTTGTAGTTTATTCCAGAAAGCATACAAGTGCAAATGGTGTATGATTGAAGTATTAGCATAAAATTATAACAGTAAAAGACTGGAAGTAACTCAAAGGCTTACTAATATGAGTTTAGCTAGCTGAGCATGGCGGTGCCTATCTCAGCGGTAAAGTGCGCTTAGCATGCACAAGGCCCTGTGTTCAATCCCTGGTGCTGCCCCTCATCCCCAACAGAAGATGAGCAAGGATCTGTGTTTACTGACATAGTAATATAACAATTATAAGCAAAAAAATATTAGAAAGCGATTTAGAACTGAGTAATAGCTCACTGGGTAAAGTGCTTACCAAGGAAACATGAAGACCCAAGTTCAAATCCCCTACGCCACACTGAAGACAGACCTGAGAGTGTGCGTATACCTGTAACCCCAGCACTCCTATGGTGAGAAGGCATGCAAAGTAAGCACTCTGGCCAGCTGAGCTACATCTCTAGTCACTCCCATCTTGTCTTAATTTTGTCTTCCTTTGTTCTGTAGTAGAACATGAATCCCTGGAAGGGCCAGCTACCCTGGTGTACACAGCAGTGAACAGATCATCTCAAACAAGGTTGAAGGCAAAGACCACACCTGAGGTTGTCCACTGACTTCCACATAATCTCCACTATACCAGTGCTGCAATCACACACACAAAAACACCATACACTATGTAGCCCTGGCTGGCCTCAAATTCACATGCCTATGCCTCACAAGTGCTCTTGCAGAGGACCCAGGCTTGGTTCTAGCACCCACATGGTAGCTAACCACTGGCTGCAACTTCAGTTCCAGGGGATCCAATCCCCTATGCTGGCCTCCATAGGCATCAGGCACACATGTGGTATATATCCATACATGCAGGCAAAACACTCATGCATAAAATAAAATAAACCTTAAGAAAAAAATAGAAAAAAGTAATTTCAATCTGGGCGTGGTGGCGCACGCCTTTAATCCCAGCATTTGGGAGGCAGAGGCAGGCAGATCTCTGTGAGTTCAAGGCTAGCTTGGTCTACATAGTGAGTTCCAGGACAGCTGGGGCTGCAGGGAGACTCTGTCTCAAAAAGACCAAAAAAAAAAAAAAAAGTTATTTCAATTAATTAAAAATAATGTAAGTATGGAATTTTATGAAGGACCTGATGTTACATTATTTTCTGTATAAGGTAGTTACCTCTGATAAATCTATAAGTGTATGCTGACTAGCTGACAAGAATAAATGATAGCTGAACCATTTATTGGCTGGCAATTAAAAGCACCAAGCAAGGGACACACTGCTTGTTTTATTGTAGGGAGTAAGAACAGCAAAAACAGTGGTAATTCAGTGATTCAAAACTTGATTTTTCAGGCCAGTGAAGCATGCTCACAGGGTAAAGCGCTCGCCACTGAGCTGGATGTTCTGAGTTCCAGCCCCAAAGTCCACATGATGATAGGAGAAAACCAAGTCCCAGAAGCTGTCCTCTGACCTCCACACAAGTGCGGTAGCATTTGCATGCCATACACATATACACAATAAACAAACTAACAAAATACAGAACATTAAAAAGAAAACCAAAACCAAAACTTTATTTTTCAACAAACTTAAAAAAACAAATCATATACTTTATTGAATCAAATGGTTTGTGCATTAAAAAAAAAAAAATCACTCACCAATGAAAAAAATACATGCTTCTGTGCGCATCGGTGTTTCTGGTTTGTATAGGCTAGAGGTCAACCTCAGGTACCCTTTCGGTCTACCTTGCTTTCTCTGGTTAAGAAAGGGTCTCTGCCCTGGAGCGCTCTGATTCAGCTATGCTGACTGGCCACCTAGCCCCAAGGATCCAACCTGTCTCTGCCTCCTGGGCACGGGGATTACAAGCACCTTTTCTACAGGGTGCTGGGGATCAAGCTCAGATCCTCATGCTGGTATGGCAAACACTGTACCGACTGAGCCTTCTCCACGGCCCCTGAAATACCTGTTTCTAATCAGAATCGTGATTGCTCAAAGTAGACTTATTCATGGACAAGCTCTGAAGCCAAAGTTCCACACCTGCAGGACACAGAAGATTTTAGATGAAGAGCTTGACAAAATACAGCCACTCATTCCACAAAGGCTAACCATTGTCTAGGCGTTCCTTTTGATGTTATCACTTTTTATTACAGGAATCTGTAGGACTCCAACTGAATGAAGGGGCACCAGGGTTGAAGAAAAAAATGAACACAACAGCTGCTCACACTATTTGTGGGAAGGAGGCTCTTTGCACCTCTCCTCAGAGCAGTTCCAAGTATTTGGAAAACTGATTTTAAGTACTTGATTAACATTCTACCAGGAAACAAAGACTAGGACTGTGGGCATAGCTCAGTAAAGCACTTCCCTGGCACGTCTAATACCCAGCACTAGATGGGAAGATACTTTATACAATTCTAGTTTTATGAACGTACATCATCAAGAATCTGATATTCTCTGATTACCTCTCAGTTTTCTTTTGACAATAAAAAATAAAAGCCCTTAAAATGAGCTGGGCTGAGCACCTGACCTGAAGGACAGGAATAGAAGGACGGAAGAAATGTTGAAGACTGTCTTCCCAGGCTGGCTGCAGAGGCAGTTCCAAAGAGCTCATGTGGGAAACGGAGACTGATCCCTGAAGAAACCATGAGAAAACTGAGCCATAAGGGCTCGCCAAGAAAAATCTGGAAATAAATATTATGTTCAGAAACATTCTTCCAACACTTTCTCTGCCAGCAGGTCCATCTTATCACTCGTAGCTTAGGGTCAATTTTCTCGATACTCTATAAATACAGGAAACATTCTGCATTTCCAATTCAAAAATTTCATTTAAAAGTTGTCTCAATATAAATGCTGGGTACACTGATCACAAAGGAGAAAGGAGGGATACTCTTGTCTTCCAGACATATTTCCAAGAATGCATTGCAAGGATTACCTCTATTAAGTCTTTTTTAAAAAGATATTTTACTTATTCATTTTTTAATTTTATGTGTATGAGTGTTATGGTAAGTGCACCCGTGTCGTGCAATGCCCGCGGAGGACAGAAGAGGTTTGTGGGATCCCCTGGGCCTGGAGTTACAGACAGTTGTTAGCTGCCATGTAGGAGCTGGATTTGAACCTGGGTCTTCTACAAGAACACTGTTCTTAACTGCTGAGCTATCTCTCCAGCCCTACCTCTATTAAGTCTTATTGGAAAAATACCCACTCGGGGTCTACTCACTTCTCCAGTGTCAACTTCCCCTTCCCTAAAATCCATGCACTCTTTGGCCTTTTACTTTCCACATCTTATTTTGTGTGGGGAGGAGTGAGGGAAGTTTATGTGTGTGTGTTTCTGTAGAGATGCGAGGTTGATATCAGACGTATTATTATTATTATTTGAGACACAGTCTCACTGAACCTGGAGCTCACCAATTGGCTACATCAGCTGGCCAGTAAGCCCCAGGGATCCTCCTGTCTCCTCTTGCCAGCACTAGGGTTACAGGCACCCACTGCCACATTCAGCTTTTTATATGGGTGTTAAGATTGGAATTCAGGTCCTCACAGCAGCACAGGACTTTAATGCAGGCAGGCAGATCTCTCTGAGCTCTAGGCCAGCCAGGACTATAGAGTGAGACCCTGTTCCCCCCACCCCCCCAAAAGAGCGGGACTAGAGAGATGGCTCAGCTGCTCTTGCAGAGGACCCAAGTTCAGTTCCTAACACCCACATGGCAGTTAAAAACCATCTTTATCTCCAGTTCCAGAGAATCCAAGGCCCTCTCCTGGACTCTGTGGGCACTGCACATACACAGTGCACTTACATGCAACCAAAACAGTCACGCACACAAAATAAAAATGAAAATAAATTTTAAACAAAAAAAATTCATTCTCACAATATTGACTCTTAGCTGCTACCAAAACAAGTTTATATAGGATCATACTTAATTTGCAGAACCTAGATTCCTACTCATCTAAGAGTGAGCAATTATTTTCTGACCTTTTTGACTACATTGCTCTAATTTTTCCTTGGGTGAAGGAATAAGATAGCGTCTACGTAGCCAAGGCTGTTCTCCGCCTCCTGATTCTCCTGTCTCTGCCTCTCAAGTTCTGAGATTATTATTTAATTTTTTTTTTTTTTTGGTCTTTTTTGAGACAGGGTCTCCCTGTAGCCCCAGCTGTCCTGGAACTCACTACGTAGACCAGGCTGGCCTTGAACTCAGAGATCCGCCTGCCTCTGCCTCTGCTGGGATTAAAGGCGTGCGCCACCATGCCCGGCTCAAGTTCTGAGATTATAAGTGTGTGCCAACATGCCCAGCCATCTCTCTCACTTTTTCCCCCTAACAAGATTATAAAATTTATTCACTTTGACTACAGTGAGATACAATGCGGAGAGTAGACCTTGTTAAGCTCACCAGCCCAGTGATAGTCTCCCCAAGCTCCACTGACAATGTATTTTTTGGATTCACCAAACTCACTGGTTCCCAGCATAATCAACTAGAAAGCCAAGAGAGGGAATTCATTTCTGACACAACAGTTAAAAGTCTTTTCTGGCCAACAGAGAGTTGCTATTCTTGAAACATTTATTCCCAATGTTTCAGAATTACCACCACCGAAAAAGTTCACTTTCTTACCTCAAGGCCTCTCTCTCTCTGCCCTGATCTCTACTGAGTGGTAGCTCTAGTGTTTATTTCTGAAACTCTTCTTTTCATTACCCGAGCTTTAGCTTTAAGCAGGCACAGTTCTTCAGTCCGGGAGATTAAAAAAAAAAGTTGAGGCCAACAACGCCCTCTCTGCCTCCCAAGACAATAAAAATGTGTATGAATGCTCACTCTCCTCCCATCTACCTCCTAAGGAAAATAAAGTCCATAGCACCCTCACAACCACACTGATATGCTCAGAAGTGCTGCGCGTAAATTGAGTTCTGAGTATAAAATGAATTTTAGTAACAAACTCACATGAAATGCAAGTTGGATAGACCCCTTCCCAAGAGGTCAAGAGAGAAACAGAAGATCTTTTGTAAGAAGGGGGGGGAACCTTCCTCTCTTCCTCCCAGATGATAAAGGTTTCACATTGTACTATACAAGGAAAGATTTGTACTTTGCTACTAAATACCTCTCCACAATTTCTACTTCAAGTATCTCAGTCATGAAACTCCCAAGAAAAATTCACCTGAATACTCAAAACACAAAATGAAGCTCAAAAAATATAGCGGTTAAGACAGGGAAAGGAAGGAAGGAGCCCAGGAGCCCAGCGTCCTTTCTTCTTCTATTGATGGGACCCTATTACAAACTGAGGAGGGAGATCAGATGCTTGTTATTATTAGATGGGGAGAAAGAAAACAGGAGGGAAGAGTGTAGAACAGTGGTCCTTATCAATATATCAATATTGATAAAGTAGCCTTTATCATATAAAGGTACTAATTTCCTAACATTTGGGGCAGAGAAAACACCACACATCATTCTACTAAAATACAGGGAAACAGGCTACAAGACACCAACAACTCAGTTACGCCTTACCCTCAGTTCTACCCTTCCAAGACCACCCAGTCAAGTATTTTACACTTCTCTCCTTGCCTCTCTAATCTGAATTTCTTTACCTTTATGTTGTAGTTTGATGTAGCTAGTACTGATTTGTTTAAAAGAAAAGATAGTACATTTATCTTCTGGAGTACCTGCCTTTTCTTGATAAAGGGTTTCACTATGTAGAGTACACTGGCCTAGAACTCGTAGTGACTCTCCTGCCTCAGCTTCCCCATTACTGGGATTACAAGCATGAACCATCGTGTCCGATCACAGTACCTGCTTCTTAATAAGGGAACGTAGTCTTTATTCCCTTTTCAACCCACAATGCCACCAGCCTGCATTACCGATAAAGGCTGAGGAGGAAAGTAACATCTTTAATACCAGGTCGGCCTTTGTTCCCTTGCTCTGATGTTATTGGCTTTGCAAAGTAATCCACTTCCCATCAATAAACACCCCAGATCTACTGAAAGGACTTTTCTAACGTAAGATTTTGAATACTTGTGCCCAGCCGTCCTGGATGCAGCTAGCCTGCTCTGCCACTATTCAGAGGGGAGCTGAAAACTGATTTTCATTTATACTGGGCGAAAAAGCAGGATCGCTTTCACGATGTTTTTCAACTGAGTCTCTGCCTAATTAATGACATGCGCTTTTGCCCCCACCCCCAAATAAAGGGTGATGCCAAAACCCTCTTTCTCTCCTCTCTGAAGGAGCGGCCCCTAACTCCAAAGCGCCTAAGATCAGCCTCTGGCAGGTTTGCATTCTTCCTATTAATATTAATTCTTACATCCGTATCTCAGCCTTTATCCCAGAGGCCACGAAAGAAGCAGCAGCAGCAATTGCATCCCGGGGCAAGCTCGCCTCCCCCGAGCGTCCACACGAGGGGCAGCTGGGGAGAGCACTACCGGGGGAGTCCAGACTTTGCAAAGTGATGGGCAGGAGGGGGACAACTTTCAGGCGACCGGACAGGTCTGGAGCCGGGCGCTTTGTCCTCCCGCCCACGCCCCCGCAGCGCCGGGCAAGAGCTGGGCGCGGGCCTGGCTGCTCGCAGCTCCACGCAGCGCGGCAGGGACCGCGGCGTCCACACTCGCGGCGTCCACACTCGCACAGGTTGTCCGGGGTGGGGGTGGGGGCGCCTGGAGGACCATCTCCTCCGGGCCGTGCACAGCGCCGCCCCGGCCCCGGCTCGAGCCCCCGCCGCTCCCGCCTCAGCCCGGCTCCCGCCTGGGCCCCAGCGCTCCACGCTTTGTTCCCGGCGCGACGACCCCGGGACGGCGACCAGGCTCCGCGGCTCCAGCAGCTGCCCCGTTCCTCCTACCGCTTCCCGCGCACCCCTCGGGGCGCGGCGCCCGGCCGCGCTCACTCACCCCGGCTCCCCGCGCTGACTGCGGCGCTCGCCCGGCGTCCCTCAGGTCCCCGGCGGCCGAAGCGCCTCGGAGCCGGCGCGAGCTTGGGCGAGCGTCGGGGCGCGCGGCCCCGCGGAGGTGCGCGCGCACGTGCCGCGCATGCGCGCTGCGCCGAGCCGCCCCTCCGAGCCTCAGGTCAGAGCCTGGCTACGCGGCGGTCGCCCGGGCTTCGCGGGTCCTGGGGCTGCGGCGCATCGGGTGTTTGGTTTCTAGGTCTGGAGGCGTCCGTGTGCAATATGCGCGACCTTCCGTGCACGTCCCCAGCGGGGAGGCTGATACTGCAAGTCCACCACCTGCTCTGAGAGCCCGTGTGCCTGCCTCGGGACCACGGAGACCCGGGGTGCTCAGGAAGGGGGCACGCGCTGCTGAGGGTGCAGCTGGGTGCAGCTAGCGAGGGGCAGCTCGCCTGTTGCAGCGCTCCGCTCTGAACCAGTGCGGCTCACTTTGTATCCTGCTCGCCAAGACTTTTTCTACACAGGTGGGGTCAGTGATGGACTGCCCTACCTTTTGCTCCTTTAGGAAAAGTTCCCCTTCTTCCCTACATAAACAGTTTGAGAGCTGAAAGACCCTTTTTAAAATATTTTTATTTATTATTGTTAATTTTTTTGGGTCTTTTTTGAGACAGGGTCTCCCTGTGGCCCCAGCTGTCCTGGGTTCACTATGAAGACCAGGCTGGCCTCGAACTCACAGAGATCCGCCTGCCTCTGCCTCCAGAGTGCTGGGATTAAAGGCGTGTGCCACCACGCCCGGCGACTATTATTTTTACTTTATGTGTATGAGTTAGTTATGCCTGCTTGTATGTAAGTGCACCTGTGTCGTGCAATGCCCGTGGAGGTCAGAAGAGGGCGTCAGATCCCTGAAACTGGAGTTCCGGACGGTTGTTAGCCACAATGTGGGTGCTGGGAATCGAAGCTGGGTTCTCTGCAAGAGCAGCCAGTGCTCTTAAGCGCTGAGCCATCCTCCAGCCCCCATAATACTTAATACAAATATGTGGTGAATATTGAAGAGTCTTGTACTTAGACATACAGACTTAGATCAGAAGGTGATGTAGGTGAATAAGCATGATAAACTAGATCTGAAATGACAATTTCCATTTTCGCGATAGACTCATGTGCAGCAGTTGTTTAGGACGGTGATATTGATTCCTAGGGAGCCGGTGGTGCCTCTGGTTGAGGATGAGCAAGAAGACAGATGGAATATGGGGAAAACTGTGTGTCAGCGTTATGTATTTCCAGATCCCTGTGGCTAATGAACCCCTGGAAATGTGCTGCTAGATGCAGTCTTACTCAATTTACACATCCTCCTGTAATCCAGGTATCAGCAACATCACTGCTCACATTGGGAAGTGGGAATGATGTAGACAGAATCATAAATATATCAACATGATTAAGTATCAAAAATACAATATTTAGTGGGAAGGCAAACTACAACATACATAAGTGGTGATGCACTTTAAAACTGAGCAACAATTGTCTGGGCATGGTGGCACACGACTTTAATCCCAGCTCTTGGGAGACAGAGGCAGGCATACTCTGAGATTGAGGCTAGCCTGGTCTACATAGTGAGTTCCAGGGTAACAATCTCAGGAAATAAAAAGAGAACAATAGCGGGGCGTGGTGGCGCGTGCCTTTAATCCCAGCACTCGGGAGGCAGAGGCAGGCAGACCTTTGTGAGTTCAAGGCCAGCCTGGTCTACATAGTGAGTTCCAGGACAGCTGGGGCTACAGGGAGACCCTGTCTCAAAAAGACAAAAAAAAAAAAAAAAAAAAAAAAAAAAAAAAAAGAACAATAATACACTGTTTAAACACACAGAAGGAACAAGGCCACAGTCCAATTTCATGGCAGTGATGGTCTCTCAGTAAACAGGGAGGGAATGGGATCTTAAAATAGGCAGAAAGAGCAATTACTGTAACATACACACACACAAAACACAAGTTAACATTTTGAAACGTATTTGTGGAGACATTTATTATGGTATTTATTATGACGATCCCTAAATTTTATTTGTTCCATGCAAAAGTGATGTTGAAGTATCACAGACACTGGGCTATGTGTCTGTGCTCCCTAGAAACACAGTAGGAATGGGGTGACTCACAAGGAACGCAGTGGGAAAGGGGTGACTCATTCCACTTTGGGGGAACACTCAGATGAAGAAGCTAAGTATGAGAGGGAACCCAGAAGATGGCTGTTAAGAGCAAAGATGAAAGGACTCTTCCATCAAGAATAAAAATATTCAAATCCCATGAAGATAACATGAGATGCTTTCAATGTTCCGTCTCCCTTTCCTTCCATGTTGTAACCACCAATAGAAAGTCTTTAATGAGCGGGGACTTCACAAGGAAACTCAGCCGACTAGGCATTGTTAAAACTGGTCCCTTTCTGGATGAACTTGTTTTTGAAACCATAAATGTTAACTGGTGATACACGGTAATTTAGTATGACATCTTTACCTGCCTCCCCCAGGACACCCCCTCATGCCCCCAAAGGCTTTGTTTATTCATTTACATACAACCTGGTCATGTGGAAAAACCACTAGGTTGGAATTCAGACAACCTAGGTTCTAATTTCAGTTTGGCCATTTACTGATCCTTCCTTAAATAAGGAAAGCAACAGCCTTCAAGAGACCCACTTTTCCTTTGCCAAATTGGAGATACATAATGCTGTCTGTTTAAAATTGCAGGGCTGGGGCTGAAGAGATAGCTCATGGGTTAAGAGCACTGACTATTCTTGCAGAAGACCTGAGTTCAAATTCCAGGACCCACATGGTGGCTAACAACTGTCTGTAACTTCAGTTCCAGGGGATCAGACACCCTCTTCTGTCCTCTGTGGCATTGCACCTCATGGGTGCACTTACATTCATGCAAGCATAACATATGAATAAAATAAAAATAAACTTTTAAGAAAATGTGGAGCTGGAAAGATAGTTCAGTGGTTAAGAGCTCTTGCAGAGAACCAAGTTTGGTTTCCAGCATCCACTTTGGGCTTTCAGAACTGCCTGTAACACCAGCAGGGGTATCTAACAGCTTCTGCTGGCACCTGCACTCACATGTATAGACATACACACATATACATAGTTTAAAAAATAATAAAAATTATGAAACATAGGACCTGCAAGATGGCTCAGTGCGTAAAGGCACTTGCTACCAAGTCTGATGACCTGAGTTTAATCCCTGAACCCACATGGTGGAGAGAATCCACTCCCACCAGTTATCCTCTGATTGTCACACTCTTCACCATAGCACACACGTGCACACACACATATTTTTTTAATTTTTGATTTTCATGTGTATGAGCATATTGCCTGCATGTATGTGAGCTCACTCGTGTCCCGCAATGCCGTGGAGGTCAGAAGAGGGCATAGGATTCCCCTGGAACTGGAGTTAAGGATGGTTCATAGCTGCCACGTGGGTGCTGGGAATCGAACCCAGGTCCTCTTCAAGAGCAGTCAGTGCTCTTAACTGCTGAGCCATTTCTCCAGCCCACAAACTAACTTTTAGAAGATGCTATTACGTGGTGGCACTCGCCTTTAGTCCCAGCACTCCGGAAGGTAGAGGCAGGTGGATCTGTGTGAGATCAAGGCCAGCCTGGTCTACAGAGCAAATTCCAAACCAGCTGCGGCTATAGGGAGACCCTGTCTAAAAAAAAGAAAAGTGGCACTATTTAAGAATAACTAAAGTAATAAAATTACAAAACATAGAGGGTCTGTATACTTAGGTTGGAGGAAAGCATATTATTTTAGGAAGCAAAGACAGTAAGGGAAGTTGTTACTTTGTTTCTATTTTAGGCTCTGGAAATAATTTCTGATTAGCTGGTGCTCCTCAAAATTGCTTTGCACTGTGAACAGGCTCTGTGGAATTTTGAAATAACTGGAATTTTCCAGCACTTGCTATTACAGCTACTAGGTCTCTGGGCTTCCCATTTGTTATTTACACATTGTGTTGTCCAGTTTTTCTCTGGATTTCGTGTGTGTGTGTGTGTGTGTGTGTGTGTGTGTGTGTGTGTAACCCAGGCTGGCCTTGGTCCTCCCGTCTTCACGTCCGCAGTGCTGGGCTTGCAGGTATGAGTCACTATACCCAGCTTTTAATTTTTTTTTTTAATCCTTGCATTCTCTGATCCTCACTACAAGGCGCTCAGTACACTTAACTAGTTAAATGTGACTGGATTTAAGGACCTAAATTCAGAGTTATTCTTAAAACGGCATGCCATCTGCCGGCTCACGGATGTATCTGTCACCCAGCTTAAATTCCATAATCGTGAAATTCGTGTTTTAGCATTCTTTTGCGCAGCTCCCCCACGACCTCCTTTTCCGACCGCAGGTGCCATTCTTCTTTGAACCCGTCGCAAATTCTTTATTTCCTCCAACCCTCTTTTACCTACTGGGCAGTCTTAAAACCTGGCAGAGTGGAGTTTTCATTTCGGAGCTCCGGAGTGACCAGCGCAGTGTAACTGGGCATGCTCAGTAGGGAAGGGCTGTTTTGGATGACAAACGCAGCACCTCTTGAACGAGGGTGTTTGACGCTGCTGGTTTCGGGATCGGATGCATCTTCATCCTGTATTTGGATGTTGCAGCTCCTCCCACTCGCCTGGCGTCCTCACTTTCTCATTTTAACTCTGTGCCCAATTTTGGAGCCAGCCCCCTGAGATGCCCGGGCCAATCAAGAGACCACACATTGTTGCCTAAGAGACCCCGGATGCCAGCGACAGGGTTTATAGACGATGATTGGGCTGCTGGGAGCGGGGAGGGATGGGGGCTGGAAGGAGTCAAAGAAAGAGCTGACCTACTGGAACTATGGCAACCTCAGAGCTAGAGGCTTGAAGAAGGAGACCAGCTACAAAAGGTGAGGCCCTTGGGCAGGGCATGGAGAAGATGGAGGCAGTCTCGGAGCGCTCCCTAGCTGAAATTCCACAAGCCTTGCCGGAGGTCCTGGGGACTGCGTTTTGCTCTCATTCAGCTGCAGTTCCAGCGCCCGTGACCCGGCACCTGTGTATTAACAGCCAACCTTTACATCAGGTCCAGCACTAGCTTTTCTTCTTTTTTTTCCATGCACTATAGTGCTCTGCTTCGTGTTTACATACTTGAAAATACGGTGAATTTGTATTTAAATCTACCCATACTCTATTTCCTGATACTATTTAGGATTCTATTTGTCTGATAATATTACAGTGTGAATTGCGCAGAGAAACTCAACCCTAGTCAGCTTTGTAAACTCCAAGTAATCCCGAGTCTTACCCCAGTGCCTGTTCATCATGTTCTGAGTTTCAATGCACAACTTCACAAGGCTTAACCCTTAAACTGCCCCACCCCCATCTCCACAGTGACATTTTTTCCTTCTATTGATTGAACAAATATTCAGTGAACCTTATGTGGGGCTGTGACCAGCATTGAACTGAGCAGTGTTACAAACACACAGTAAGCCACAAACCATCAGGGTTTCATGCTGCTGTTCTCACAGGGGTCAGGCTGTTGTGTCTGGACAGAATGCATGAAAGTGGAGGAGACTCGGGCTGAAAAGGTAGGTTGAGGCACTTGAGACAACTCAGACTTCCATGCCGAGGAGTCTGGATTCCACAGTCATTAGTGAGATGTGAAGATTTTTGAGTTGAAAAGTGACATCATCAACTGATCAAAAAAAAAAAAAAAATCCCTGGGAGTTGGGAATATAGCTTAGTTGGTAGAGTGCCTGACAAGGAAGCCCAGGGTTCTATCCCCAGTGCTGCATGAACCAGGCATGTGGTGTGCACCTGTAATCCAGCTTTTGGGAGATGGAGACCAGAGGACCAAGTTCAAGGTCATCCTTGGCTAGTAAGAGGATTTGGGGCATATCTGGAACACATAAGGCCCTCTTGGGGCTGGAGAGATGGCTCAGGGGGTAGGAGCACTGACTGCTATTGCAGAGGACCCAGGTTCGGTTCCCAGCACCCACATGGCAGCTAACAACCTTCCATAACTCCAGTACCAGGGGACCTGATGCCTTTTTCTATATGGGTGTGCTTACATACATGCAAGTAATACACTCATCCACATAAAATAAAATATTTTAAAAGACCCTATCTAAAACAAAACAACAAAACACACACATACAAAAAAAAGCACTAACAAAACCTCTAACAGAGCCTGGTGTGGTAGCACATGCCTTTAGTCCCAGCATTTGGGAAACAGAGGCAGGTGGATTTCTGAATTCTGGGACAGCTGGGGCTCCAGGGAGACCCTGTCTCAAAAAGATAAGCAAAACAAAACCTTGTAAGAGCAGAGTGTGACTCTGTTAGAGCAGAAACTTATCTTTACTCCCCTGTTAGTGTCCCATGGATCCTTAATAAAATGATTGGGGTGATGGTGATGGTGTGAACAGTGGCTTAGAAGACTTAGAAGACTAGATTGGAAGTGTGTGACCACTGAGAGCCTGCTGGGGTGTTGAGCATGGGACTGGAGCCATATATTGAGGGTGGACCCTAGCTTTCCTTCTGCAGTTTAATACCAAGGAAAATTAAGAATGAACATTGATTGGCAGTCATTATGAGACCAGGAGGCTGTAGAAAAGCAACAGCGGTTTATCTGTGGAAGCAGGTAAGACAATCTACTTTGTCTTGATAGAGGGGGAGCAACTATTTCTTATGTCTATCATGTGAAAACTTGTCTTTATAATAGGAGCAGGCGGTCCATACTGTAAATCTGAGTGTGCACACAAATATTCACACATGGCGCCTTTCAGATGCTTTGAAGAAAGCCTAATCCCAAAGTGGTTTCTATCTCTGAGGGACCAGACAGAAGAAAACAGCCAGTGCAGACCTTTAGGGTGTCACTGAGAAAAGCTACTTTGTCCTCTTTCAGAATGGTACCCAGAATAAGTCAGAGGAGGGCTTTTTACACAAACTGGGACCCAAGGGTGCTTCGGAGCATAAAGCAAGGGGGCGTAACCTGGGGAAAGCAAAATTTCAACCTCCTGTACGTGCTGGATAGCTTTAGTATCAACTTGACACACCTGGGTTGAGGGAGCCTCAATTGGGGAATTTCCTCCATTGGACGGACCTGTGGTCATGTCTGTGGGACATCTTCTTGATTATGGAGTGGTGTGGGAGGGCCCAGCCCACTGGCCACCCCTGGGCAGGTGGGCCTATGTTGTATAAGAAAGCAGTCTGAGCATGGGTCAGGGGAGCAAGCTGTAAGCAGCGTTCCTTCACGGCCTGTGCTTCAACCCCTGCCTCCAGGTTCCTGCCCTGAGTTCCTTCCTACCTTGGGCTCCCCGATGAACTGTGATTCAGGAGATATAAGCCAAATAAACCCTTTCCTCTCCAAGTTGATAGTTGTCAGAGTGTTTTGTCACAGCAATGGAGAAACAAACTAGAAAACTGCATTTTTCTAGGAAGAGATTTCACAGATTTCATTCCAGAGCTTTATGACTCTCAAGAGTTTTTAAATAGCTGCTGTTTTGTTTGTTTGTTTGTTTGTTTTTAAATTAAAGGGCCAGGCATAATGACACATACCTGTAATCTCAGCACTGGGGAGATTGAGGTGGGAGGATTGTGAATTTGAGGCCAGTCTGGACCCTGACTCAAAAACAAAAACCAATAAATAACAATAACAACAAGCAGTATATAACTTTTACTTGGGCACATCTAGACTTGATGACCATGCTTTGTACCTGCAATTTGCCTGCTCATGTGTTCATTTATCTCAGGCCACCAGCTAATGCAGTAATAAGGGGCTGGAGAGATAGCTCAAGTGCTTCCTTCTCTTTTAGAAGACCTAGGTTTGGTTCCCAGCACTCAGATAGTAGCTCACAACCATCTGTAACTTCAGTTCCAGGGGATCTGACGCCCTCTCTGGCCTCCATGGGCACCGGGCACACACATGGAACATTTATATACATGCAGGCAAAACACTAATACACATAAAATCTTTTAAAGCCTTAAAAAACTTGTTTAAAAATGCTGTGAGTAAATCAATTCTTAGGCGTTTTGTAACAACTAAAAATGTAGTGACTTAGATAATTCAATAATAATTGAATATTATATGTCCAGTGAGAGCCTCAGAATTTCAGATGTAGTGACTGGGGAAATCCCACCTCAGCTGAAAAATGATGCATTTAAAAACATTTTTAAAGGGAGGATCTCATATAGCCTAGGTTGGCCTCCCTATGAGGATGACTTTGAACTTCTAATCTTCCTGCCGCTAACTCCTGAATGCTGGCTTTATAGATATGGGCCACCATACCTGATTTATTCTGTTCTAGGGATCGAACCCGGGGTTTTGTGCATGTTAGGCAAGTATCTACCAACTAAGCTACATCCCTAAGCCATTCTTTTTTGTTTGTCCAATATTTACTGCTATGGAGTCATTTATCTGACCCATAAATCAGGCATTTGAACAGCTTTCTCAGCCTCACTTCTGCCTGTGAACGCAAGCCCAACTTCAGTGGGGAAGGTGTGTGTGGAAACACTGAGGGTATAGGTTTAAACTACTGACCATCCTAAGAGAGTCCATCCTGTGCCTCCAAAAGACAGGTTTTGGGGTACTCTATAAGTGATGAGTTCTAGGGAAGACTGCAGGAGATTGCTGCTTATTCAGGCTGCCCAGCCATGAGCCACCTCTATAAGGCCCTTTTCTCTTAATTTTTGAAACAGCATTTGAGGGTAGATATATATGTAGGACTAAAACCTACATAAAGTTAAAATTAAAAAATGGCTGTAGAGCTTAGTAGTTAAGAGCTCTGGCTGCTCTTGCAGAGGACCCAGGTTCGATTCCCAGCACTCACATGGCAGCTAACAACCATCTATAACTCTGAGTTCCAGGGGATCTGACTTCTTCTTCTGACCTCCTTATGCACTGCACAGCACAGGTGTACCTATACCTACATGCAGGCAATACACTCATGTGGGGTTGCTCCCTCTCCTCGTGGGTCGTTGGCCACCACTCCACGAGGACAAAGGGAGCAGAAGCGACAAACGGGGTCAGGATGGCCAGTGAGCACTGATAGAAGAAAGCCCTTCTGGGGAGGCAGATTCAGTGATGCAAACAGCTCCAGACTCAGTGAAACAGCTCCAGATTCAGTGAAACAGCTCCGTTTATTCAGTGGGGGTTAGGGAAAATATAGTGTGGAGGCAGTAGCCAATGCTTCAGCTGATAGGTGCTCATAGTATGCATTATTTACATGTGGCAGTAGGCTCCTATCATCCGACTATTGGGCAATGCCTGATTATCATATAGAAAAAACCTGGGGGTAGTTTTCACTCCAGGTAACTATGCCAAAGGTCATGTTCCAAATAAGGTCAGGCATCCGTGCTTGGCGGCACTTTCCAGGTAAGTCAGGCAGAGAGCAGGAGACCCCCTGTTGAGAAGGGGAGTCCTTCCACATAGCTCCAAGCCCCTTAGAGCTATCCGGACATGGAGGACTACAACCCTAGCAGCAGGGTTCCCCAACACACTCATACACATAAAATAAAAATAACAATAATAATATATATATATATATATTGTCTTTTTTGAGACAGGGTCTCCTCATAGCCCCAGCTGTCCTGGAACTCACTATGTAGACCAGGCTGGCCTCGAACTCACAAAGATCCGCCTGCCTCTGCCTGCTGAGTGCTGGGATTAAAGACGTGTGCCACCATGCCCGGCCATAAATAAAATATTTTTTAAAAATTGGCTGCAAAATCAGGGAGTATCAGGGACAACATGGCAGTTGGCACATAGCATCAACACTACCTTCAGTGACCACCTCATCCATAAAAATAAGGACAAGCTACAGTCAGTCCATCTGTGGCTTAATCTAATCACCACCTCTTAGCAGGGGAGGGACTACTGATGGTCCCCAAATGAAGGCAGAGGCAAGTAACTGGATACCTATAAAGTCAGTCATCTAACCAGCAAATTCTGCACTGTTGAGGAAAAGTAATTCCTCATGGAAATTAAAGAGGCAAATTGTACACTGGGCAACTCAGACCAGAAGACTTTTCCCCCATAAGGGCAGCCGTCCATCTCCAAAGCCTTGTCCCTGACTAGCATATCACTCTACTTTTTGACTAACCTGGATCTCTCATTACCTAGACTCAGAAAGCTAAGAGGCAAAGAGGAGAGTTACTTTCTCAGGGACACAAGTTAGGTGTTTTCTGTTGCTTTGTGATTTAAATTTGAAGTACTTCTCTTCAGTTAGCTGTGTTCATAGCTAGGGGTGACACGGAATGTCTCCAATGGTCCAGTGGTCTGATTCCTGTTCTAATACTTGTTATCAATATGCTCTCCCCCAGGGTATATAACTTCAGAGAGCCTCATATTCTTCACTTGTCAAATGAGCTGAAACCTACACCCTTACGACCAGCTCATGATAAACTTGTGATGAACATACATGTACATACATGTAATGTGCCTGGTATACAAAATTCTTCCAGTAAATATTCTCCCCACCTACTCCTTCTCCCAATATAGATAGACATTCTACAGTATTTTTGGTATTTTGAAGATGACATGATTTATTTCTTCTCATAGGTATATTATTTCTTATAGAAAAATACCCAGTCATCCCATGATGGCATTTGCTCCTCCAAAAAGCACAGATGGCCCCAAAATGCAGACAAAAATGAGCACCTGGACACCCCTAAACCATCAGCTTCTAAATGACCAGGTAAGTAGTCAGAGAGATTTTATCATTTGGGCCCATGCCTTAAAGAAAAAAATTAGTAAAATTTGGTTAATGAAAAGGAGCTGGAGAGGTGGCTCAGCAGTTCAAACACTGGCTGCTCTTACATAAGATGCAGGTGTGGTTCCCAGGATCCACATGGCCGCTCATAACCATAGGTCACTCCAGTTCCAGGGAATTCAACACCCTCATCTGACCTTTGTGGGCACTGCACATACATGGTATACTTACATACATACAGGCAAAACACTCATACACATAAAAGAAAATAAATCTTTAAAAAATTAAAATATGGGCAGGAATTGTTTAAAATTGCACAGTCTATGAACAAAAGATAAAACAAAGTCTTTATATATAAAAGAAACTTTATTTGAGCCTTTGCTATGTGGACAAGACTGGAATAGACCAGAATCCTGCCTGAGGAAGAAAAAAAGTATCTTTGATATGTTGTTTCCTGCATTGTCTGTCCCGTTCCTGACTTTGGAATCAACAGAACTTAGGGAAAGAAAGAGTGATCTAGGAAAGATTCCCCTGAAAACAGAATTTCTGGCCAGAGTTTGGGTCAGTGAGTGAATACATTTCACAATACTGAGCTTCTCCTGAGAAGTCTCCAGCTGCATTCTTGGGAGACAGAAGTAGAATACACCAGATAAAGGATTGTGTGGCAGATGGCTGGGGTGTGAATGGCTGACCTCTGGGAATTGTATTCCTGTTCCAGCGAGGTGCAAAATTTACCCACAGGTCTCTGAGCTTCTAGGATCTGTTCTTATCACAATCAGCCTGTGTAAAACTTACCTCGTTATTTTTCCCGCTCCATACTGTTCCTCTTCCAGGTGAAAAACTCTCATTTTATACCATTGCTAGGGCCAGAAATCTTCCTTTTTCCTATCAGGTGTGAGGTTGGATCTTTCACTCCAATTTACAAGCTAATAAGCAAACCTGTTGCTTATGGAATAGAAAACTGTATTATTTCACAGTAAAGGACACAAGATTCTGGGCAGGGACAAAGAACTTGCATAGCACAGTTGTCAGAATGAGTACTCTGCACCAAGTACTAAACGTTGGCTTTCCTGGTTGACCTTGTCCTGCTGGGTGATGCAGATCACTCAGATAAACACTGAGCACACAGTGGGTTTGCTTGGAAGCCAAAGACTGAGCCCAGGGAATCCACTGCTTTTATAGGAAGCAGTGAACAAGCCTGTTCTTGGTCACAAAGGAAACATAAATTCCTCCCTTTGGGTTGTCTTCCTGCAGTGTAACCTGGCAAACAGGGCTAAGTGGAAAGTGCTCAGGGCCTTGCCTCCTTGTCATGCTGAGACATTTAGGAGCAGGAAGCCCATGGAGGTTATCTATCGATACACCTTGCCTGCATATCCCATGTTCTCTGGGTCCATGCATCTCCTCTCTAGGTCATTTGAGCCCTTTTTCCATCCACTCATATGCCAAGCTCCATGATCTCAGTTCATATCCTTGTTCCCCTCCACCCCAGATACATTGCAGTAACCCCCGGGCTGGTGTCACTGCCTCTACCCCTGCTATAACTTAGCCCCAGAAAGCTCTCTAAAATGCCAGTCCTATTAGGTGAAGCTGAAAATGGGCTCCACTCCAAAGGGCAAATTCCAACCCCCACACACATCCTTGAGGGGCCCCTTCATGCCCTGACCCTCAGCCAACCTCCTGGCTCCCGCCTCTGCTGCTGCTCCCTAACCCCAGATGCCAGCCTGGTGAAGCCTGCAGTGCCATAGCCCTGCTGTCTCCTCACCTGTGAGTCAGCGCCAATGTCCCACCCTCTGTAGCACCTCAACTGCTTCCCGCAGCCTCTTTACTCTTCTGGCTTTCCCACTGAACTCTAATGCATCAAGACTGGGATGTTACCCATTCTCTCTGAATCTGTAGGTCTTGGTGTGGCTTCTGGAACACAAGTCTGGCACTCCCTGGTCTTTCCTGTGTGCGGTCACCAGCAGATGCATATGCGTGTGTGTGCCAGCGCCAGAGAACAACCTTAGCAGCCATTCCTCAGGTGTCATCCACTTTGTTTTTAATTTTTTTGTTTTATGTGGATGAGTGTTTTGAATGCATGCAAAATTTGAATGTGTTCGAATGCAAGTGTACCCATACATGCAATGTCTGTAGAGCTCAGAAGAGGGCGTTGGATCTCCTGAAACAGGAGTTAGAGATGGTTGTTAGCCACCAGGTGGGTACTGGGAACTGAACCCTGGTCCTCTGCAAGAGCAGCCAGGACTCTTAACTGCTAAGCCATCTCTCCAGCCTCCCACTTTGTTTTATTGAGGTAGGGTCTCTCACTAGTCTGGAGCTCACCATGTGGGCTAGACTGGTTGGCCAGTGAGCCCCAGAGATCTGCCTATCTTTCTCTCCCCAACACTAGGATTCTGGGATTACAAGTAAGCCACCACTCTTGGCTTTTTAAAACCAGGCTGGCCTCAAACTGAGAGATCTGCTTGCCTCTGCCTCTCGAGTGCTGGGATTGAAGGGATGTGCTGCCACACCCAGCTCAGCTTTTTAAAAAAATTATGTGTGTATGTATATGTCTGTGTGTGGGTATGTGTATGTGAGTGCAGGTGCCCCATGAAAGCCAGAAGCATTGGATCCCCCAGGAGTTGGAGTTATAGGCAGTTGTGAGCTGCTTAGTGTGGTTGCTGGAATTTGAACTAGGTCCTCTGGAAGAGCTGTGTGTAGGTGCTCTTAACGGCTGAGCCATCTTTCTAGCCCTCAGCTTTTCTTTTATTGTGGGTTCTGGGGGATCCAACTCAGGTCCTCGTGTTTGCAAGGCAAATATTTTGCCGACTGAGCAATCTCCCAACCCTTCCCCTAGATATTCATAGACTCTTATCTTTGGACCCCTCCATCTGTTTCCTTGGCCAGGAGTTGGTCCTTGTCTCTGTAATCCTAATAGAGTGAGGATTCCTCTCACAAAGCCAGTGTCAAGCCTGGTCCCATCTTAGAACTAGAAACTTTCTTCGTCTCTGAGATAGAACCAGAGTAAATTCCCAAAGAGTAGGAATTAGAATCAAGAGAGGGAGTAAATTCCCAAAGGGTAGGAATTAGAATCAAGAGAGGGAGAGAGAGAGGCAGGTGGATCCAGGCTTCATCTATAGCTGTGAATGACAGACAAATGTACGGAAATCTTTTTCTTTCAAAGCAACAATTATTTATTGAGCACCTGCTTGTGATGCTCATAGCTCTTCAACAGTTTACATAACAGCTTATCCCCCAAACTTCAGTGTTGAGTTTGGAAATCTGTTTTCCCATTGCATTGTGAAGGTTTTACACACGTGTGAAAAAGTGACTTGAATTGAAATACCAAGTTGTTGAACGTCTTGATTTTCAGAAAATTCTCTAGAAAAATTAAGCTTTCATCATCTTCATTTAGTCACTATGAAAAGAGTACCTTAATAATCCCCAAATATCTTAGTGCTTTTTGCAAATGGGGTGATTACAGAAGCTGATTCTTTTATTGTTATTTGTCGGTATTGGGATTGAACCTAGGGCCTTGTGCATGTGAGGCAACGGCTCTATCACTCAGGTACATCCCCAGCCTCCAGAAGCAGATTTTGAGATGATCATATAGGTGTGAACTCCAGAGAAGGGGAGAGGAGGGAAGGACTTAGGTTTGGGGCTAAGGATGAAGTTGGGCTGCTGTACATTCATCATGAGGACTCCAGTGGCCCTAGAGGACACCATGAAGCTGGCCCAATCTTTCAGAGTGGTCTCGCAACTCGGCAGGGAGACCTGGCCTTTAGAGTTGATGCTGAACTTCCATGGGCACCAGCTGCTCTCCCCTCCAAGATCATAACCTTGGCCAAGGCAACTCCTTTGAGCCCCTGGCTGTCAACCAGCTGCCTCCCAATAGGTATAAGAATAAATCTCCAAGTCCTGGAGAGGACAGCACATCTTAGGAGCATTCTATGGTCTTATCTCAGTTCTTTTTTCTTTTTTGAGACAGGGTCTCCCTGTAATCACAGCTGGCCTGGATCTCACAGAGGTAACTCCTGCCTCTGCTTCCCAAGTGCTGGGATTAAAGGTGTGCTCCACAATGCCAGGGCAGGAGCTGAAGCACAGACTATGGAGGAGCGCTGCTTACTGACTTGCTCCTCTGGTCTGTGCTCAACCTTTTTCTTTGTCTTTTTGAGACAGGGTCTCCCTGTAGCCCCAGCTGTTCTGGAACTCACTATGTAGACCAGGCTGGACTTGAACTCACAGAGATCCGCCTGCCTCTGCCTCCCGAGTGCTGGGATTAAAGGTATGCGCCACTACACCCGGCTCAACCTGCTTTCTTATATAATACAGGACCACCTGCCCAGGGGTGGCACCGCCCACAGTGAGTTGGCCCCTCCCATATCACTCAACAATCAAGAACATGCCCCACAGACATGGCCACAAGCCAGTCCAATAGAAGAAATTCTTCATCTGAGGTTCTCTCTACCCAGATGTGTTAAGTTGACAGTTAAATCTATCCAGCACACACCTATATGTGTCTTAATGAACAAGAACACGGGGCTGGAGAGATGGCGCAGCAGTTAAGAGCTGACTGCTCTTGCAGAGGACCTGGGTTCAATTCCCAGCACCCACATGGTGGCTATGAACTGTCCTTAACTCTGGTTCCAGGGGAATCTGATGCCCTCTTCTGACCTCTGTGGCATTGCAGGACATGGGTGCCCTCACATACATGCAGGCAATACACTCATACACATAAAATAAAAATAATAAAATATTTTTAAAAAAAGAACACATAGGATTTGTAAATGATTATACCAAAATATTAATACTGGATGCCCCCCCTCAAAAAAAAAGTTAAATGGGCATCAGTTCTGAAGGGAGATCCTCTGAAAGAAAGAATTTTTCTTTTTAATCCCTGTCTGGTACACTAATATCTCAGATTTTAAAACAACTGAAAAATAAATACAAATAAAAGCAAACAGAGAGCAGTGACCCTGGGAATTGAAACCTTGGTCCAGATCCTCTAT